TCCTGCAGAAAAATTAGTAATTGGAAGTAATTATTACTCCGTGTTCAGTCAAAACTAGATATGATAAGAAGATAAATTTTAGTGGGATGTGATTCAAACGAAGTGATGGAGTCGTTTTCTGGCGTGTATAAGTTCTATGAACTGACGGTTAAAAATAATTTACACATCAGGTCACTTGATAGGCAACTAGGCAACTGCATGTGATTATTTTTACAAACATTGATTGGTAACCTTAAAAAATGGAAAGCAATCTTCTATGATACGTCAAAATACACTGATGGTATAAGAAAATCTTTACAGTGTCCAGTTTATATAACTTAAATCTTTCTTCAGCTCTACGGACTTTTTGGACTACTTAGTCTTTGCCTGTCCTTTCTCCGTCTATGTTCGTATTGAGGTTATGCACTTATTGGGGCTGTCCTGAGGGTGGCATTTACTGATAAAATTGGCTAAAACAATTTTGGGTGCGATAAGTGAATTTTCTGAATTGAGTTGGACTATTGTCTTTGGTATATGTTAAGCTTATAGCAAGAACGAAATATGAGAACCTTGAATAATAAGCTGCCTGCTGGCATTGTTCTTGATGTTAGAAAATTGGGTTGGCCCTGTTTGGTAGTTTGTACCTTAGGCATAATCAAGCAATCAGAAAAATGAACTATGCTTATGTTGAGTTACTAACATTTGTCTTGATTAAAGAAAATCCTCCTGCAGAAATGTATGATAACCTGGGAGCACAGTCTGGAATGCCAAGACCGCCTGTTAATCCACAGGCAAGTCCTTTTGGAAATGCATTCTCTGGTGGTAGCTCGGGGTTCATCAGGAGCGGACTAGGGGCTTATGGAGAAAAGATCCTTGGTTCCAGTTCTGAATATGTTCAAAGCAATGTAAGTTGCTTCATGGACTGGTCATATTTCTACATTTTGCTACTTTCTAAAGAATTTTTTGCTATAGATCGATCGAGAACTTTTTGGTTTTTGAAAATACATTATGACCTTAGATCAGGAAGGAAACTGTACTTTTCTTTGTTGTATTTTTGCATTGTTGTGTTTCGGTAGGTTAGTTCTACTACTTTTGGAAATCAATAACTTTTAAATAGCATTTACAGTTTTGCCTTCACGTTGACAACATCATCAAAGTGGCATTGTGCCATATTAGCAAAGTTAGCTATGCATGATTAGCTTTAGAAAAGCCGAAGGAAATCCTGTCACTGAATAGCAATTGAAGCTAGGTGAAGCTATTTCCATTTTCCAATTGTTAATCACATTCTTCATTTTTTTCAATTTGCAAATTTGTCCTCATTGTCCTTTTCCTTATTCCTTGATCGAATGATAGCACCCCATGCCCTATTTTGTCATCTCTCTGTAATTGAGCAGTAAACTAAAAAAAAAACTTTAAAAGAATAGGAAGAAGAAATTTTTTTGAGGAAAGAGACAGAAAAATATCTATTTAGGTAGATAAATGTTATATCTAGTGGTGATAGTAGAGGATTCTGTGGGAAGATTAGGTCAGATGGATAGATTTTTCTGGAGAAGCATGGATGACTAATGTCAAGCCACATCTACTCCAAATAAGAGAAGGAAAGAGAGGTCAATCGAAGAAGAAAGAAAAATATGATTTAGAGCTGGAAAATTTTAGTACTGTCATCCGATTCTGCTCTGTTACCATGACGTCACTTATTTCTTTAGGTGTGTTTAGCTGCAGGTGCAGAAAGTAACTGTAAGTTGAAATGGGGAACTCCTATGTTGGCTGATCTTGGAAGGATACGGTGAGGAGAGATGGGGCATGGGGGTGGCATACTATGATGCTCATTAGGGGTAGGATTCGGTAGAAAGCTAGAAATGGATTTTGATAGTAGTTTTGTCTATGCAATATAGTGGAGTCTGTCTAAGCTAATTCAGTTAGAGTGCGAATGAACAACATCCAATGATGACTCCTGGAGGTTTTGGTTCATTAGTGGGTTTGAGGGGAACACTAGTATCACAATAATTGGTGTGGTGGCTACACAAGAGATTAGTCTCTTTTGGTTTACCTTTGGTTCGTGGTACTAGGATCAATCTGGCGTGCAAGTTATATTGTTTACAAAGGAAAACATTGCCCATACATGGCAATTGTGTTCCAAACTTCCCTCAAAAACAATTTAAGATTAGCCCTTGTTATTTAAAAGAGTAATTAGCCATTCATAATGAGGCATGGAAGGTTACATACTAATCAATTTTTTTTTTAATTGTAAAATCAATGTGGCTATACAAGTGATTATGCTGTAGGCAGCCACAGAAAAATCCCCCTTAAAACAAAAGTAAGCCAGATTGCCTCCCTTTCCTCTTTGATATGATGTAGCATTTGCCTCTTTGTTAAAGTTCCCTAAATATTGCTTTGAAGCCATAGATGATTTAACGTTATTATTGCGCAAAACTTTTTTCCATTCTGTCTGTGGACATTTTATTGCTGGATGATATTGATACGTGGTCTAGCTTATCTGTTGGAAATGGAATTCTAGTTAACATTTTTCAATTGAACAGATAAGTAGGTATTTTTCCGATCCCCAGTACTACTTCCAAGTGAATGACCAGTATGTGAGAAACAAATTGAAGGTTGTTCTTTTCCCTTTTCTACACAGAGTAAGTTCTTGAAACTCTTGATCTCTCTCTTTGTTGCATTATGATCTCGATATTGTAACCTTTTCATTTGTCTGTAGGGTCATTGGACAAGAATCACAGAGCCGGTAGGTGGCAGGCTATCCTACAAGCCCCCTATCTATGACATAAATGCTCCAGATTTGTACATTCCATTCATGGCATTTGGTACTTACGTTGTTCTTGCTGGCTTATCACTGGGTCTCCAGGGAAGGTAAGCTTAGTGTTATCTCAAGCTTTCTAGGCTTTCGTCTCTTGGTGTTCAATACTGAAAAGTTTCTTTGATTTTTTACTGGCAATTTTCTGTGTCGACTTAAGCAAGTGGTTGCTTACCTCATTTTTGTTTATAGTGCCAATAGATGTCACATGCTCATATAGAAGAACAAAACTGCTGCTNCTCCCCCCCTCTTTTCCTCTTATATTTAGATGTCCTAGTTTGTTAGGCATGGCTGTCGAAATACCAAGTGAATTTTATTGTAGTTGGATGGAAACATGAACATATAGTTAATTTTGAAGAATTAAAAATTCTTTTAACAATGGAAGTGGTTTCCATAGTACTGTATGGTATGGGGTTGAAAAAGATTTGTAGAATATGGAGAAAGAATTTAACCCTTTTAAGAGTGAGTAAACCAATCAGACCATCCAAAATAGGTAGGAGAATAAGTTGGGACATAGGAGTGATATTTGTAGTAGTGGTGGGATACAGTTGCTAACGTGACTTGACTTCTAGTTATCATGTTGCAATACTATTGAAGTATGGAATAATTTCCTCCATTGCTTCCTCTTCCTTTTGTTTGTGTTGATTCTGAATCTTTTCATCTCTTGCCAGGTTTACCCCAGAAGCTCTAAACTGGCTGTTCATCAAGGGGTTGGTTGGTTGGTTTTTACAGGTTTCGTTGTTGAAGATGACGTTGTTGTCACTGGGTAGTGGAGAAGCTCCTCTCCTTGATATCGTGTCATACTCCGGATATGCTTTCACAGGATTGTCCATAGCTCTTCTTGGAACAATTATATGGAGCCATTCTTACTACTTCTTGATGCCATGGACAAGCTTATGCATGGGAATATTCTTAGTAAAGACAATGAAGAGAGTTCTTTTTGCAGAAGTGCGAACTTATGATTCAAGCAGGCATCATTACCTCCTTCTCTTCATTGCCCTAGCTCAGTTTCCACTTCTGTTTTGGCTTGGAAAGATAAGTCTTAATTGGTTCTTTTGAAAAAGAATAGTCATCTCCAGCACTAATATGGTTCAGCAGCTGTTTTCTGTGAAGTAATGTAAACAGTTTTTGTGTAGGATTTACCCTGACAGTGCAATGCAACAGTTACAGCGATTGTTTTCCTTTTGTTGTTTTTACAAGTTCTGTTTCAATTGACTAAAAAATATTCACATATTAAAGATGATTGAGAAGAAGGTGACAATTCTATATTAGAAATTTCGAAAAGTTTTATGCAACGCTCTGTAGATTGTATGTTAATTCGAAGACAACCAACATTTCTTTAGTTTTTACACAAAAAAGATGTTTTTACCCACTCAATCAGAGACTCAACCATCTCTGATGAGATATAAATGGTCACAACTTCATCGAATTATATTGAAATGAATCCACAAAGAAGGTTGATAATTTATCTATTCAGCCTAAGTTCAATTGCTGGCGTAAATAATGTTTGTGGTGTAGGTGCAATTTAACTTGTAATAATAAATTGTTTATTTTAGTTTTCACCCAATTAATTTACTTATTATCAATAATACCTATAATTATTTTTCATGATGGCATCGAGATTTTCTAATTTCGATAAGGGGTCGTCTAATGGGGAAGGTATAATATAAACGTGTACTTGGTGTATAATAGATTAATCGAGATAAACTTTTTTTTTTAACCTAGAGTTGTTTAAAATATTTGGTTCATTAGACTAAAAATAGGATATACGAGGTATAATATAAATATATATTAGGTGTATAATATATAAGTCGAGATAAAATTTTATTTTTAACCTAGAATTGTTTAAAAAACTTTGGGAAAGGTCATTGGAGAAGAGCATCTTATCATTTTAATGTTATCCCGAGATTATTATACTACCCTCAACGTGGGATGAAATAATATTTATATTATGGAATTAATTAATTTTGAAATTGCTAATCACAAATTTAACAATTCAGTCAAATATAAGATAAAATATTTACTCTGCATTTAATCCCGAAATTATTATCAGTTAGTATTATCCCACACACCAAACGATGTCAGATGTTAGTACTAATTGTGGTGAGATGATAATAGAGGTGAAACTCTATTCAAAATTAACCAAAAATAAATAAAAATAAAAAACTCTACTCACGCCGGAATATCTATATCTTGGAAAGAAAGAAAAGCACAACCAAAAATTCCGAAACCTATTTCCAAACCCCTTTTTGCACTCTCTCTTCTCAGTCACAGCTAAAAGTCATGGGTCAAGGAACACCCGGCGGACTTAACCGGCAACAGCCCGGCGACCGTAAGAACGACGGAGACAAGAAGGAGAAGAAGTTCGAACCAGCTGCACCACCGGCACGTGTCGGTCGGAAACAGCGTAAACAGAAAGGTTCCGAAGCAGCAGCTCGACTCCCAACGGTTACGCCGCTAACAAAATGTAAATTTCGGNCGGTTACACCGTTAACAAAATGCAAACTCCGTCTCCTAAAGCTCGAGCGAATCAAGGATTACTTGTTAATGGAAGAGGAATTTGTGGCTAATCAGGAACGATTGAAACCTCAGGAAGAGAAAACGGAAGAGGATCGATCTAAAGTTGACGATCTACGTGGATCTCCGATGAGTGTAGGGAATTTGGAGGAACTTATTGATGAGAATCATGCTATTGTTTCGTCGTCGGTCGGACCGGAGTATTATGTTGGAATCTTATCGTTTGTTGATAAGGATCAGCTTGAACCTGGATGTGCTATTTTGATGCATAACAAGGTATTGTACTTTGTTTATTTTGTTGTTTTTTTGGTAATATTTGATTGTCTCTTAGTTTTTAGGGTTTCATTAGTAGACTAAGGCGTTTGTGCAATTTAGACCTAATACTGAGTAGTTTTGTGATTCGATTAGCTTTAAGTTCAAAAATTTAGGTAGGGTTATGGTTCTATAATTCTATTTGTTAAGTTCTGATACTTAGTTTTTGAGCTTTTAGTAAGTTTGGGATTTGGAATGTGGAAGTGGTATGAAAAAATAAGTGACTGGAGTTTGTGTTTGGAATCGCTTTATTTTTGATGACTGATTAGTCATAATGCTAAAGAATTCATTTAATCAGATTTTGTTACTTGTAAGGATATCTACGTAAGAGAGCTTAGTTATTTTTATCAACAAGTTTGGTAGTCAGCGATTTTGACTAGCTGGAACCTCCTTTATTAGCTAATTTACTCGTTGTATTTAGACTCCAAATTAGTGCCTTCTGTAGTACTTTTGGGACATTTATATTTGTTTTGTTATCTTGTTTGTTAGTTTGTTTTAATTTGATAATAGTTTCTCTTTAGGTTTGTTAAAAAAATTTGATAATAGTTTCGCACTTTCTCTGCAGATCTCTTCCTTTTATTGCTTTGAAATAGTAATAAGGTGAAAGTATGTTAAGTCTGAGGATGGGTCATTTTGACAATATATATTTCTCATTCAGGTTCTATCGGTTGTTGGGCTTCTACAAGATGACGTTGATCCAATGGTGTCTGTCATGAAGGTTGAGAAAGCTCCCTTGGAATCATATGCTGACATTGGTGGATTAGATGCTCAGATTCAGGAGATTAAAGAAGCGGTTGAGCTTCCTTTGACTCACCCTGAGTTATATGAAGACATTGGTATTAAACCTCCTAAAGGGGTCATTCTGTATGGAGAGCCTGGCACAGGCAAAACCTTGCTTGCTAAGGTTTGTGAAATTTCTTTTTGAGTATGCTGAGCTTAGAAATTTGGTTGCGCTTCCATTTTCACTTCCCTAGTTGGAATCAACAAGTCCTATAACGTGAGTATGTGGAGTTCTTGAAATTTGAAGTATATCTACTTCTTACAAGACTACCTGTGACTTGATGAAGGAAATGTGTAGCAATTTAGGCATTTAGCACAAGGTGGTTTGGGCACAAGGCATTTAGCACTTTCGAGCGAAATAGTTTCTGATACATTTCGTGTGTACATGTGCTAATAGTTCTAATCAACTAGCTATTAGGTGTTTTCTTGTCTACTGATGGAATAGAATGTCTCTAGTGCGAACAGATGGAATCAACTTGTTGACTCTTTTTCATTTACTTTTGGAATATAATGTCTCTCTAGCCCATAATATGAAAATACTCAAGAGCTTTATTAAACCTTTTTGTTCAGGCAGTTGCAAACTCCACTTCAGCCACTTTCTTACGTGTTGTTGGAAGTGAACTGATCCAGAAGTATCTGGGAGATGGGCCTAAATTGGTCAGAGAACTCTTCAGAGTTGCTGATGATCTCTCGCCTTCAATTGTCTTTATTGATGAAATTGATGCAGTCGGTACAAAAAGGTCTATTTCTGGTTTCTGTTCTTGAGGTTGGAATTCGTGATGTCTGCTAGTTAATATGTTTATCTTCAGGTATGATGCACACTCAGGTGGTGAACGAGAGATTCAGAGGACTATGTTGGAGCTGCTGAACCAGTTAGATGGCTTTGATTCCAGAGGAGATGTTAAGGTGATTCTTGCAACAAATAAAATTGAGAGTCTGGATCCTGCCCTGCTTCGGCCTGGTAGGATAGACAGGAAAATTGAGTTCCCTCTTCCAGATATTAAAACAAGGAGGCGCATTTTCCAGGTTTGTGCGTTAGATTATTCTTGTTTGGGTAACTTTTTCTAGAAAAAAATTATCATTATTGAGAAACATACTTTGTCTGATGCTTCCTGGATTACGTACCATTTCGTGAAACATTTTGTATGTGGTATGCAGATACACACAGCAAGAATGACTTTGGCTGATGATGTCAACTTGGAAGAATTTGTTATGACCAAGGATGAGTTTTCGGGAGCTGATATCAAGGCAATATGTACTGAAGCTGGATTACTCGCTTTAAGAGAGCGGCGTATGAAGGTGAGACGTAAAAATGGGTAATCAGTTTGATTTATTTTTCATGATGGATTGGCATGCTCTAATATACGTCTAAAAAGGGGCCCTGGGGGGGGAGGGGGTTGCATGTTTGATTCAATTTCAGATAACTTCTTTCTTTCGTTGGTATGGCATGTCTATTTCGAGGTTTATTCGTCATAGGCATGTAGTTCTGGGTTAGCAAAACCCCGTTGAAATGGAGGGCTCTTACTTTATTATAATTTAAAGCTTTGTGGAGTTGAGAGATTGAGTTTGAGCTTATTTGCCCCTGAATAAGTGCATCCTCCATCTTAAGTTATGGTTTTATGTGCCCGAATAAGTGCATCATCCATCTTATTGTACTCATGCGGCTAGAAGAATTGTGAAGATGACCTGGAAAGACGAGGTTTATTGGACAAGGAAATATAGACTGTAGATTGTAATTGATTCTTTAACATGTTCAGGATGTGGAAAACTGGAAAATATATTTGAGTTTTTTTGTACTTGCCTAAATTGAAACCATTAATTTTCTTTGGCATTGTTAGACTTTGTCAGCTTTGTGACTGTCAGCTTCGTAACCTTAAAAAGAAAAATCTTTGGCATATTGAATGTGTAGTCTGGAAATGTAAAGATTATGAGGAAGGGAAGATCAAATATCTAATTATAGTTAAATTGCTGTACTGTTCTTTACCAAGGTAAAATATATTAAAAAATATACATTGTAAATTTCCTGATCCTACTCATGTTCTGTGGTCTTTGGTGGTCGCCAAAAAGATCTATTGTCTTGTCTCTAAAACTTTTTAGGGTGATAAGTTACCTGGCACTGTATATTGTTGACACAAATGTATTCTATTTCGGTATTTCCACAGGTTACTCATCCAGATTTCAAGAAGGCCAAAGACAAGGTCATGTTCAAGAAGAAAGAGGGAGTGCCAGAAGGACTTTACATGTAATCATAGTGTATCACTTCTGTTAATCGTTGTTCACGACTTTGATTACTCTGTTTTCAGTTAAACGCTTTAGTTCTCTTTACTTATGTTGATGGCTTCTGATCTTCTGGCAAAAAACAAAATATTTCATTGAGAACATCTGGTTGGTTATGTCAGCCCCAATTTGCGCTTC